CCTTTGGACCCTGAAATTTTTATATTCGACATGCATTTTTTTCAAAGTGATATTTTGCTTCTTGACACCATAAGAAAGGGACATTTACTTTAAAGATATGCGTTATTAGCTTAGCCTAAAGTTTGGAAATATGTCCTCAAATGAGGAAGGATACCATGGCTCAATGGGTGCAGTGGAGGCAAAAGTGAATCTTCATGTGACAGTTTTATTTTCTACTTATACACTTAAATTTATGAAATAAAACACTTTCTATTGATATATGGGATCTTCACTGACAGACGTGTAATTCCTTGAAGCAGTTTCGTGCATTCGTGAGGCACAGATTAGCATTGCACTTCTCGCACTCGGTTCTTGGCTTGCCCTTCAAGCATGCAACGCTGCTGCTCTTCTTTAGGAACAGGCCAATGACCAACCTGGTGATACCTTGAACTGGCTTTCGATTGTTACACTGAAGCTTTTTCAATGATTGAATCGGGGAAGATGATGGCCTTCTGCCCTGCCGCAGTGGTCTAGTGGCTAAGTTACTCGGCTGCTGACCCGCAGGTCGCGGGATCGAATCCCGGCTGTGGCGGCTGCATTTCCGATGGAGGCGGAAATGTTGTAGGCCCGTGTGCTCAGATTTGGGTGCACGTTAAAGAACCCCAGGTGGTCAAAATTTCCGGAGCCCTCCACTACGGCATGTCTCATAATCCTTAGGTGGTTTTGAGACGTTAAACCCCACATATTAATCAAGATGACGGCCTTCTATGCTTTCGCGACACGTCAGCAATACCAGGTTTCGCTAGGGTTTCTACAACATGTCGCGTGAAATCTAGAAGATCCATCTGATCGCTCATACGTATTCCTTGTTGCTCAGCATTCCGCCAATATTCAAGCCAGGAGTTCGTTACAGCCAGGTTCATGAAATGTGCGATTACACGAAGTGTCCACTTCCTAGAACGAATGTTGGTCCTGTAGAGTGACACAAGAAAATCGGTCTTGTCAACTCCTCCCATGATTTTGTTGTATTCTTGCACTACAGCCGGCCAATTGACCTCAATGAAAGCACCGTTTGTCTTGCTCCATCGTGACACACTATCCTCCTCTTCAACAGCTAAAAAGTTGGATGCCATGTTCACCGCTCGATTCTCCAACCACCGTGTTATGGCAATCTTTCCATTACTGCTAACTAAAGTGTCATGGGAGCCTCTTCCTTCTTTTTTCAATTCTTTTTCTAATTTCAGAGGACACTTGTGAGTTCTGTTGATGCTTATAGTGCCAGCAGCATAAATCTTTGTGTCAAGCTCTTGAATCACTGGCAAAGATGTAAAGTAATTATCAAGAAACATCTTATGCCCAAGGCCATCAGGAATTATTGACGTGAAATTTATAACTAGAGCATCTGTGACGCTGAATTTCTTCTTGTGGTCTTAATTCGGATGTGTGGAGGAACCTTGGTAAATCAGAAAATCGTATATGATGCCGGAAGCTATGCACATCATAAATACCTTGACACCCCATGGCTTCAGTTTCTCTGTCACGTAGTGTTTAATGTATAGTTTACCTTTAAACTGTATTATCTGCTCGTCAATGCACAATCTTTCCTCCAGCGTAATATTCTGGCATCTTTGTTGAAAGGAAGTGAGCAGCGGTCGCACTTTCCAAAGGCCGTCATTGGAATCGTCTTCTTTTGTGATGTCCATAATGTGGAGACAGTTGCAAAGTTTTTCAAAACGATTCCTTGACATATCCACCTTTGCCTACATTTCTGTTTTCAGAATGGGCTTCCAGTAGAGATGCAGAGGGGGGTACTTAACAACTCCCATCAATAAATTCAGAGATGCAAATTTTCTTATTTCTTCCTAACTCTTCTGGACTGACCTCCCTTCTTTGAACATAGAATAAAAGTTTGTCTTTTCAGCCAGTTCAACAAATACGCTCCTGAGAATGTAGAGTGAGAAATATTCATATAGAGCCGGCAACTTACCCACGAAAGGTTAATTTTGATCGCGAACTCCACTAAAATCTGCTGGGGGCTTGTGAAAAGTATTTCGACGCCATGAAGTTTCTTTACATGTCGGTTTGTCGTCCGGCTCGTCTGATGTTTTCTGTGTTTCAAGAACAGAGTCTTCGTTCTATGCCTCTTCAATAACGACATTGTCATCCTCCTCATCTTCACTATCGCCAACATCTGATAGGTTGCCATTATCGAGTTGGGCAAATATTTCATCTGCGTCTTCAAGTGACATTGGCGAATTTGGGTGTGCCTGCCTAATGCACTTTAGCCCATTCTTACTTTTTGGTGAATTTCCTTTTCGTCGTAAAGCTCTCCTGTTGCTACTTTGCCTAAATGTACATATTCTTGTATACACTCCATTGTATGGCTTCCACTTGTGAACTCTTTCTCTTTCATCAGATTACTCAGCATTATCTTTGTATTCATTATATTCATATTCAGACCTACTTGGATACATTCTCACTTTGATTAATCGGTCATTTTTTGCGATTCTGTGCCATTTACCACCATGGAGTATATATGTCCTTTCTTGTAAGTGCTATGTGTAAAGCAAGAATCGCATATGGTTGAAAAGCAATATCTCTCTTGACACATTCTATCGCACAGATTATTTAACTTCACCCATTACCATGGTTGACTGTAGGCCGCTGCCATTGTATGTTCAAAAAATAAATAGTCTCACAATGCCCTTATGTTGGTCTGCTTCATGTAGCGCCATTTTGAAGAGCACCATGTTAAAAAAAGAGACAAATTAATGGCTCCAGGGCATGCCCTGATCCTGTGTCATTCATGCGTCCCTGCAATGAAGAGGGGCTGTTGAAATAAATGGTTACCAAATTGTCAAATTTGCAGTCCTTATAATGTGCCTTATGTGGACTGATAAACAAGGAGTATCATCATTCAACCAGTAATGATCACAGTCTAGTCTTTCTCATTGTGATGCTACTGGTTCTGACTTTGATGCTGTTCTGTGAGGCATCCAAACCATAGAGTTTCCTAAAATTAACTAGAGGGGACTCTGCAGTGGCAGTGTGATCATTCAGCGCTCATGGGAACGATGGGTAGTACACGGATTTGCCTACTCTTCGTACTTGCAGTTGGGTAATCATATTTGGGCCTCGTTTATTGCTGCGTTTTGGTTTTGTTTCCCAGGAAAAAACAAACCCTTTTGAACTTCGTGGCCCAATTCGAAATTGTAAGTCTAAAAGATTAAGGTGGTGAAGTGTAACAGCTGAACATTTGCAGACTGTTGTTTCGTGACAAAGCAGCTTCAAGCCACACGGAACCAAACGGAACATGAAATACGAAGACTAGGCAAATCTGTGTACTACCCATGATTTCTCATGCTGGCTGAAGCGCCGTGCATAGCAGCTCCCACAGACACTAGTGCCTGAGTTCCCTCTTGTGTAAATATAGGAAACTCGATGATCCAAACACCTCACTCAAGTAAAAACTAGTCAATTCAGATCTCACAGGACCAGAAAACGTGTACGAATTAACTGGATACTGAATTATCGAAAGTATAAAAAAAAAACAAATGTCTATTAAGTCAACGCACTTTCATTTTCTTGAGGAATACCTAAATCCAGGACTTATTTTGCAAAATAGTAGCCTGAGCCACCATGATCATCATTCGCAACTTCATAAAGTGCACAGCTCAATACCTCCGTGTTTTAAGCTGAAACGTGCTTTGAACCCATGACTTATTACACCAACAACGCTACTGTACATGGTGACTGTGCCCTTCAGAAAGCCCACAGATATTTTGGCTTTCTGGGAACACCGTTTTCGTTTTTTTTTGTGTCGCACATTTGTGATGCTTTGCGCTTGTCATGCGAATTATCCGAATTGTGGCCAAGTACTGTATTAATTAGGGTTTGATGCCCTAAAGAGTACATGTGCTGTCCGGGACCAGAGAACATCTGAATTATCAGATTTTTCAAGCTAATGAGTATTGAATTAACAAGCTTTTACTGTAAAACAGTTTATTCTATTTATAACTTTTAAGTTTGTGTAATACTGATTTATGTGACACATAGAAACATTTTTCTTTGAAAATCTTGTTCATTTGTCTATTCACATGTGTATTTGAATTTCATTGCAATCACATCTTGATAATGTACTGATTTTGTCATACAGTCAATAAAGTTAGCATTTTGGAAACAGCTTTCTTAAATAAGTGTGGTGGGCACAAGTTAAGATTATGTATTGTAAGGTGCAAGAAAGAACATCAGTATATTAAAATAGCACTCATCAGTGCAATGCATATACTTTTTTTTTACTTTGTGCGTCACTAAGGCATAACCTTGGCACACCCATAGGGAAACAAAACTCTTTGAACATGTGATGCAGAGAATATAATTCGCGTAGCATAAGAGGAACTGCAGAAGCATGTAAATAAAAGTTATAAAATGTACAACAATGAGAGGTAACATTCACAACTGCTACATAAGAGATACAACTGCTACACTGGGAGAACTGAGGGCAAGCGGTCAATTCATAAACAGATTGTTCAATATTGTGTAACAAAAGAGCATGGTAAGCTGACAAGTGAGGCAGTGTGGAGCTGGCTGGCGTAGTAGTTGGGATAGAATACAGGTTCCTTGGAGTATCAAAGATGACTGCAATGCAGTTACTAAGTGGCCAAGGAAGAGGCCCAGGATCAGCATAATAGATGCTGGGCATGCTTTGGCTTACAGTGACTGTTTTCTAGGCCATCCATGGATTTCTATGATTGGCTCGTTTTTAATAATTTTTTTTGCACATGATGTCCTTGTGCTTGTTTCTCTATGGTCATTTGATCTTGAACTGCAGCACTCATGTTGATGGAGTCTCGGCCAACTTTGTCTTCTACTTGTGCCACTAATTGTATAATGTCAATTTTACTTATCGCATTGCACAACTTTTTCTTGTCACTTAGTGCAACACCTTAACAATAAATCATTAGACCAAAGAGTGTTGAAGGTGCCTTCTACACTCCCTCTGGTTTGTGTCTTTTTCTTTTAGCATATAGCCGTGGACGTTGGAGAGCTGCGTGGTGGCACGCAGCGTTAGAATGGCAAGTCGAAATAGGTGCACCAGTGGTCACGAACAACAGTTTGAAAACTCATCGGCAGTCCTGCAGAAGATTGCTGGCTTGTATGCAGACCGTCTACTTAGTGATATTACTTTAGAAGTAGGTGGAAAGCAGTATGCTGCACATCGGCTGATCCTGTGTGCTTCAAGCGATGTGTTTCAGGCGAGTTGCAGTATTTGTTACCATTTGTGGACAAATATTTGATTCCACCATTGATGTGTTAGAATGTGTCCAGCATTAAGTTGTAACCACATTTGCTAAAATGATTCTCTAAATATATCAATTAATGAATAAATAAAAAAATGCAAAATTCAAGTGCTGATCAGGAAACTTGTGGCAAAAGAGCTGCAGTTCAAGTTCCTGATTTTGTTAACACAGGAATGGGTAACATGTTTTTATGTTTTATGCTTTTTTTTAGTGTTGTACACATTACAGTGGCATTAGCAGTCTAACATTTAGCATCATCTGGTCACCTATGGTGTATTTTCATGCCTTTTGTTCCCCAACCTGTCCACTGTATATTTTTTTATAACTAATGTTACATGAGCTGTTAACATATATACCAGCTATCAACTTAGTCATTCGTGTGCTGGATTATTTCAGGGAAGTTAGTGTGTTTATTATTTTATTATGTGAAGACAAACATTGATAACTGAGGACATAAAATTGTCACAGTGTAGCTGTATGATTGCAACATTAGGGAAGACTCTAGCTTTCTGTAGCTACAATCTGTCTAAAATGAGGCATTTTGAATGCTGTAGTGCACAAATGATTGAATCGATTCATGTTTGCACTTAACATTGATCTACAGTGCTCAGTGCTTCAAGAATATCTGCTGACATTTGTAATGCATAGTTTTGTAAATGCTGTAAATCTGTATCATATTGTCACGATGCAGACACAGCAGGTGTCCGATATAGAAGAACTCACTTTAATTAAAAATAAAAGGCGCTCGTAAAGTGGACCGGGCAAGAGCTTCGTCTTTCTCTCTGGCTGTGCGAGCTCTCCTCTGCAGGTTGAATGCAGCATTTGCCTCCCTCCAGGAAGAGCATCGACCCGATGCTCGGCTACAGAATATGCGGTGTATGTAGTTGACGTATTACGCAACTGGCTCACTGCAACATGGCTTCATCCGCACAACGTGTACGATTTCAGATTTTTGAGCTCGCGAGGAACTGTCAGGGATGACCTCATAATTCACGTCACTTAGGCGCCGTATAACATTGTAGGGACCAAAGTACTTCTTCAGTAACTTTTCAAAAAGGCCACGTCGGCGAATAGGGCTCCAGACCCACACTTTCTCGCCTGGTTGATAAGTGATGTATCGGTGTCGCAGGTTATAACGTTGTGCACCGTAACTCTGCTATCGGGCGATTCGCATGCGTGCTAGCTGCCGTGCCTCTTCAGCTCGTTGGGTAAAGGCTTGAACATCCGTGTCTGTATCCTCGCAGTCATGCAGCAGCATGGCATCAAGCATTGTCACTTCACGGCCATAAAGAAGACTAACTGGCATGCTCCGTGTAGTTTCCTGCTGCACCGTATTATAGGCAAATGTCACGTATGCTAGAACGTCGTCCCAATTTTTATGATCCGCGTCGATGTACATACTGAGTATATCAGCAATTGTCTTGTTGAGATGTTCTGTTAAGCCGTTGGTTTGTGGGTGGTACGAGGTAGTTTTTCGATGCGCTGTTCCACTCAACTCAAGTACTGACTTGAGAAGCATGGCCGTGAAAGCGGTACCTCTGTTTGTTATTATAATTCTAGGAGCACCATGCCTCAGAACGATACTTTCAATGAAAAATCGCGCCACTTCTACTGCAGTTCCACTTGATAAAGCCTGTGTTTCTGCGTAGCGAGTAAGATAGTCCGTAGCGACAACTACCCACTTGTTTCCGGTATGCGAAGTCGGAAATGGTCCAAGGAGATCCATTCCGATTTGTGCAAAAGGCATGGTGGGCACTTGAACTGGTTGCAACAATCCGGCTGGTTTTAAAGGTGGCGATTTTCGTCGTTGACAATCGAGGCACATGCGGACGTAATGCTTTACAGTGCCTGGAAGCTTTAGCCAGTAGTACTTCTGTTGGATTCTGGCCAATGTGCGCGTGTATCTGAGGTGGCCGGAGGTTGGCTCATCGTGGCAAGCGCTCAGGATCTCATTGCGAATGGATGTTGGGACGACAAGTAAGTGGGCATTTTCGCTGGGGGCAAAGCTCTTCTTGTATAGGACACCACTGCGCAAGCAGAATGATGGCAGGCTCCTTGCAAATATCTTGGGAGCGCTTGTAGACTGGCCGTTAAGAAAATTAATAAGAGGGAGCAACTCACTGTCTTCTTTCTGCTTAGACGAAATGGTGACTCTGTCGATCACTCCTAAAAATGCCATGTCATCATCTTCTGAGACATCATCTTGCTTTATAGGCGACCTGGATAAGCAATCAGCATCAGAGTGCTGCCGTCCCGACTTATAGACGACCGTCATATCGAATTCTTGTAGGCGTAAGCTCTTGCGCGCTAGCCGACCGGATGGGTCCTTCAAGTTGGTCAGCCAGCAAAGGGAGTGGTGGTCGCTGACTACGTGGAAGGGACAGCCGTAGAGGTATGGGCGAAACTTCAGAACTGCCCATACTACAGCAAGACATTCCTTTTCCGTTGTGAAATAATGGGACTCGGCACGGGAAAGCGTCCTACTTGCATATGCAATCACTTTCTCGGCTGAGTCTTGCCACTGGACGAGTACAGCGCCTAAACCTATGTTGCTGGCATCAGTGTGGATCATGGTTGGAGCGTCCTCGTCAAAGTGAGCAAGCACAGATGGTGTCTGCAGGGGCTGTTGTAGACCGTCAAATGCTGCTTGTTCTTCTTCGCCCCATAAAAATGGAACATCGTCTCTCGTTATGCGTGTTAAGGGCGACGCTATGTGCGAGAAATTGGCGATAAACCTGCGGTAGTAGGCGCAAAGGCCAAGAAAACGTCTTACGGCCTTCTTTTCTGTTGGCACCGGAAATTTTCGGACGGCGTCGATCTTGTCGGGGTCCAGACGAACACCTTCATGGCTCATCACATGTCCTAAGAATCGGAGTTCTTTGAAACCGAAATGACATTTCTCAGGTTTCAGCAATAAGCCAGCGGACCGTATTGCTCGAAATACTAATAGCAGCCGTCTTAGATGTTCCTCGAATGTTGGTGAGAAAACAATGACGTCGTCGAGGTATACCAGACACGTCTGCCACTTAAGGCCTGATAGGACGGTATTCATCAGTCTCTGAAATGTTGCTGAGGCTGAGCACAATCCGAAGGGCAAGACTTTAAACTCGTAAAGCCCGTCAGGCGTAACAAAAGCAGTCTTTTCTCTGTCCCGCTCATCGACCTCGATTTGCCAATAACCGCTTTTCAGGTCCATCGACGAGAAGAAGCGTGCATGCCTCAGCCTGTCAAGTGAATTGTCAATACGCGGTAGTGGGTATACGTCTTTCTTTGTCACGCGGTTCAGCTTGCGGTAGTCCACACAGAAGTGTAAGCTGCCGTCTTTCTTCTTAACTAGCACTACCGGTGATGCCCAAGGGCTTTTTGACGGCTGAATGATGTCATCATTGAGCATTTTCTGGACTTGTTCTTGGATTGCTTCGCGTTCTTTCGGTGCCACGCGGTATGGGTTTTATCGAATTGGTCTTGCCGTCTCTTCCGTTATAATTCGGTGCATTGTTAGTGGCGTTTGATTTACCCTCGAGGTCGACGAAAAACAATCTTCAAACTGACCGAGAATATCTAGAAGACTCTGCCTCTGCCCTGGCGATAAATCTGTGCTCACGTCGACAGGCAGTGGTGTTGAAGCGGCCGGTGTCTCTGCCTGTTGTACTGCGAAGCACTCGCGGAATTCTACAATTTCTTCGAAATATGCAACTGTAGTACCCTCTGTAATGTGTCAACGCCCGTTGCTGAAGTTTGTCAACAGGACCTCTGCTTGCCCAGACACTACCCTGATGAGACTTCTGGCAATAGCGATTCCTCGAGAGAGTAAAAGCATCGATATTTGTTCCGCGACACCTTCTCCAGTATGCTGCGTGTTACACATGACAGAGACAAGGCGGCATGGTCACGTCGTCAATCACGTGCATGGGCTTGCGCTGCGCTATGGTCCGCTGAGAAGGTCAGTACACCGTCCGGTATATTTATGATGGCACCGTACTCCCGCAAGAAATCCATACCCAAGATGGCCTGTTTACAACACTGAGAAAGAATAACGAAGGTTTCCACGAATGATGAATCCCCGATCTTGATTCGTGCGGTGCACTTTCCGGTAGGCGTCAGCAGCTGGCCTCCGGCTCCTCTAATTTGCGGCCCCGTCCATTCCATTTTTACCTTCTTGAGTTTGTCGGCCAGATTCGCACTCATTATTAAAAAGTCCGCACCAGTGTCGACCAGTGCGGTCACGTCGTGACCGTCAATTAAAAGTGTAATGTCGGCGGTGGCAATCTCGTCTTTCGTCGGTTCATTCGAAATTCGCGGCACTTCGTGCGGCGGTAATGGGGGATTTTCAAATCTTCGGCAATTCGCAACCTTCCCCCCTAAGGTCGCTGCTTTTAGTTTCCCCGGCGTGGACTGGGAGATCTTCCTCTCGCCATGTCCGTGGTGCTACCTCTATTAGATTGGGGAAAATGACCTGGGGAGGTCGAGCGTGGCCGGAACCCAGGAGAAACGTCCCGCGGGATCATCGTGCTCATTTCAACGTTGCGTCTTCCGTCGAAATAGCGCCGAGGGGTAGTGGACAGAAATCCTTGATACCCGGCAACGCGATGAGGACAATACCGCACGATGTGGCCTGCTTCCCCACAATGGAAGCACAGGGGCCTGTAGTCAGGGGTACGCCATATGTCGGTCTTACGGAGTGGGGGTCGCATCGGCGTCGACGTTTCCCTGTAGTACCAAGGCACTGTCGGCGGCTGTTGCTGGTGGTACTGCTGAGGTGGCGACACGTTAGATCTAGGCTGTCGACGGAGAATATCTGCATATGTTGGCCTAACCATTTCAGTGTTCGGCTCGGGAAGTGAAAGCGCTTGCCTTATTTCTTGGCGAACAACTTCTGTGACCGACGCAATCGCATAGTCATTCAGTGTGGCGGCGAGCTTCTTCACCTCTTCTTGCACAATTTCGCGTATCAG